CCTCTCGGATTTTCTCTCTATTTGAGAACAAACGGAACGAAACGATGCAAGTGGTGTCGCTGGCACGACACGCCGGTGCAACCACCAGTTGCTATCATGCTATCAGAGAGAGGTCGAGCGGCATAGAGCGAGAGAAAAAGAGAGAAAGATGAAGAAACCGGGAGCGCGAAAGATCCTTGAATCTGTAACGTGTACGAACGCACAGGCTCACATTTTACATAGTGTAGGCCTACGTAAATATAATACATAGTTTCATATCGCCTGTTGCATTCCTAGAGTGTTTCTTTGGAAGGATCGCCCGTTCCTTCTCGGGTGACGCCAACAGTAGTCTTGACAAATTGCTTCCGCGCGACAGAATGAGTCATCGTTTTCAGTTGCAGCATTGTCGTCCTTTCGCACGTCACAGTATGCGCTTATGTACCATTGTGAACATTGCAGAGGCTGCCAGACTGGTTTCCTTGGCTCAGGTGTAGCGGGATCATTCGTTGACGTTTCATGATTTATCGCTATTTAGAATTTTAAGATGTACGTAAGATAAACTTCCGGAAAGAATTGGACGAGCTCTAATAGCTAAGAAAAATATTTATCTTCCATATATTAAAAATGCAATACAAAATAATTAATCGTAGAAATATATAACAGAATATGCGAGCTGTAGAGGGGGTTAGAGTTTGATGCGCTGTGCACAAAGAAAATACGAATATATCAAGTCGGTCGTATCGTAAGAGCTGCGTTATAATAAAATTTTTCGGCATGAAAACTCGTTGTACGATTTCTAATTACGATGTTACGATATTTCCGGTCGGGTTCTCCCTTTCGATTTAACTGAAATCCCCGAGATTGCAGCTTTTTACGGTCGGTGCATTTGGAAAATCTCGACTTGGCCAAGGGCAAGTTTGCGTCGTGTGAGTTGCCCTCTTGGTGTTACCTGGTCTTGAATTCGAAGCACGGTGGCGCGGCGCCAACAAGTGGTCCATATACCAACCGGCAATCTGCGCCTATCCGAGCTACGCCCTGATTCTACGTGCTGTAATTACTAATCAATATTATACCCGCTCTCATGCGTCGTATTACGCGGAACGTCGGTGAACGTGTCCTGTAATTTGAACGGTGCTCGTCAGCAGCGTTCGCGTAACACTTCGGCTCTGAAATCTCTCGAAAAGCTGCAAATTCCAAATTATCGGATGTAATCGCTGTAATAATCGCTATAAACCGTTTATTGCTTGAAAAACCTTCATTTGCGATAACAATGCATATTCCGATATCGCATCGATTTACGCGATAAACACCAATAAGTTTTAATGCAAAGTCATTAACATAGGATTTAATTATGGAAAATTTAATCCGGGATTAAACGTATTCGTGCGCGAATATTTAAAATATTTAAAATGCGAGTTTTATCATTTCGCGACAAGGACTGATTTTATCTCGCATTTAATTTCGACTAATTCAATATGCACCGTTCATTTGCATGTGGAAAATAACAACCGTTTCGTAGCGTGCATTTTAGTTATAGTTACTTCGGGCCGCGGGTAGCATCGAATATATACCGACAGCCGGGTCCTTTCGAAGTGGCTTGAGGTTAGATGGAGAGTGCGGGCTCGGTCTCTCTTCTCATTAAGTTGAGTGTTGCGTGTTGCGAGGAGGCTCGAGGGGCACTCACTACCCCGAAGTGCAGTAGACACGCCAGCGAGGCGCTCACCCCCGAGCTACAGGTTGCTACGGAAGATTGGCGACTTAAAAAAGCGCTTTGCCGGAATAACGGAACGAGTTTCTCGATTAAAGCTCCCGAGGAGTTGAGCGAATACGCGGCGATCGCAAATACGAAGACATCGGAGGGGAAGATATCTGCAAAGCGCGACGGGTCCGTTGTTCCATCAGAGGAATGTCCGATTGAACAATTTTAGAAGTCGCCGCTGCTACGCGCGCAGCTTTTGTGTGCGGACTTTGTTGAGTGCTTTTCGCGTTGGAATGGCTCGCCGTCGTTATCGCAGTGTCCTTTCCGTGTCTCCGATGCAAAAGGGAAAACGGCAAAATTGTAAAATGTCGACGGCGTAAGAGACGAGATGATACCGACGAGACGGATTGCTAAATCGAATTTCTTCCAAGATACCGGGAGAGCACCGGGCGACCTCAGCTCTCTCAAGCCGAAAGGGAGCGGAAGGCTTTAGCAGGCACATGGATATTAAGCGTAGTCGGTGAACACCTTCTAAGTGCTCGTAAGTAGAGGCTCGAGAGAGAGGCATATGAGATAAAAGAGCTCGGTATGCGAACGTTTGCGCGCGAGGACACTCTCAGGGAGCAAAAGAGAAAAGGGGGATGATGGCCTTATTTCATAACGACTTGCCAGGCTCAAAGAGGGAATAGGTAGAAGGTGTGTCACAAACAGTCAGGTATACACATGTCTCTCCCTGCGCAGGCTGTATACGTTTATGACGTGCATTCCCAGCACGTACACGCGTACGCACACGCACACACACACACACACACACACACACACACACACACGCGCGCGCGCGCCATATAAAATAAAAATAAAGGCACAAATAGAGTTTATTTTGTCAAATCAGAATCAAAAATCTCCGCGAGGCGGTTTTATCTCATAATTCAATATATGAAACGGGGGAGGCGAATGATTCACACTGTCACGATATCGAACGTAGCCACGATGATGTGTGCAAACGTCAAAGCCGCACGGTATCAGAATTGCGAGGAATCGGAAAAGAACAGAGAAGAGGGGAGACTCCTCGTTCTTTACCTGTCTACGTAACGCGGATTATCCTGATGAGACACAGGACGCTGTAAGCTCGAGAATTTTTCGCGGTCTGAATGCTACCTCGAACTAAATAACGCACACGATCGGAATACTCCTATAAATAACAACGGGGAGGGGGCTGCGCTTCGTCTATTAGACTGGCGCCGAGAGTGCGCGTTGCGCGTGCGTGTCCTGTGACGTCACCGAGTACCAACTTGACCTGGTAGCCCGCGGTTGATCGTTATCATTGGGGGTGACTTCGATCATGGATAGAATTAAGGCCTCTTTTACCAATTTCCGATTAAGTTAATCGACGATTAACTCGCAGGGATGTCAGTAGCAGATCAGAACTTGTCAGTATTGACTTAATATTCTTTTCATCTCGTAGAATTATATCTGATAATATAAATGAAAATTATTAAAAAAATTAATAGAAAACAAATATAGATTATGAACATTTTCTTTCTAATAAAATGCTGTTTAGTTTAATCATTAACAATCGTGATAATTGAATTAATTAGTTTAACCGAAGATTAGTGAAAGAGATCCTCAGTTTCTTGCTTGATACTAAACAAAAAAAGACTAAGGATGACGAATTATATAATTGGAAATCTTTCCGCAAGCAATTTTGCAAGGTTAATTAAGTTAATTAAGTCAATCAAATTTTCGCCAAAGTCCCTAAATTCCTTAGAGAGAGACATGATTTTATTTGAAACCACGTATATTCATTTTTTTCCGTTGCGCAGACAATTTTAGATAGCTCGAAATAAAATATGATTGAATTTTCGTCGATGTATTCCCATAAGAAAAAAAGAAATTTACGTGTCAATATGAAAAATGGTAGCAATTTTTTCTGAACATTTTTAATCTTTCGTTCAAAGAACACGCGGGATCATGATCTGGAAATTTAAAAATGAAACACGTGCAAACTGTTGCGTGAACGCGTTTCAATAATTCCCGCGGAGTCACGCGAGAATCGCGACGCGCGCTCGTCGCGCGGCCAACTTCAGGATAAGACTAACCTCGTCTGCTTGGAGTTACCGTTGAACGGGTCGAAACGAATATTAATCCTCTTAACGGGCATCAGATTGACGCACTTGAGTTGTTTTATGATTGCGCCGAACGTACCGCTGGAGCGTAAGACGGCTCCGGAGAAATGAATGGACATTTTGATAACTGCGACATGAACACGATGATCGCAAATATACCGCGTTCGCGGCGACACTGTCCGGCGACTTGTCGCACCAGTGCTGCCACCTTGACAAATCCCATTACAGATTAGCAGCAAATCGATCTTGCGCAACGCGCCGCTGTGATAATGATCATCATGACATACCAATGATTTTTTTTTTACTCTTTCTTTTTAGTTTATAAATTATTATTATTATTATTATTATTATTATTATTATTATTATTTATAAATGAGGCAGAACTTGCTCGCTCACGAACAGAATTTGTTCTGTTGCCAAAAGCGAAATATATTATTAGGAAATAAAAATCTTGTAAATGTATAATAAATTTTTTCTTTTAATTAATACAACTCTGATATTATCCTGTAAAAAAAAAACAAATAAATCTAAACATTAAAATTATAAAATAATTTGCATACGTAACATTTTATTTAAAATCATTTTTTTTCTTTTTATGTCATTAATTACATAAAATTAATGACATTATATTATTTTTCTATTTACTATTATTTGCTTCATATAGGAAAAATATTTGATTAACAACAACAAATAATGCAATTAGAAATTTTATCTTAACTATTTTGATCAAATTAATCGTCACTTAAGTTGTGTTCATTCTCGTTCGCGATGTCAGATTACAAGATTACAAATACAATCTCTGATTAACAGTAAAATGAAGAATGACAGGGACAACGCGTCGATTAAATCTTCCATATTGATGCTCATCGCTATTTTTATCCATTATTCTCGTTTCAATCGATTAACTATGATTAACTACGGAAAAGTCGCTATATTATAGCGTCGTCATAATCAATTCATCTCTTCTTTACGCGAGAGGAAAATTCAACATCCAAGATTTTTACGCGTATCGCGTTCGTGAAGATTTTGACGATAGTCAACGGGATTTTTCGAACGGGTCACGAGTACCCCGCGCGTGGAAGCTCGATGCGAGCGAATGAGACGTCAACGAATTACCGACGGCCGCGGCTGTCGTTCGTCGCGTGGCGATTGGCCGCGACGCGGGCCAATGGGCGCTGCGCTAGCGGACGCCATTGCGGAGGGACAGTCTCGTTCGGTGGTGTCGTTCGCAGTGTGTGTTGTGGGAAGCGTGTGGTGTGGCCAGTGGGGTCTTGTGTTGAATTTTTTACTTATTTATTAGTGGTTATCTGGTCTTTTACATTCGGCAGCAGCGAGAATGTACCCCGCAGGACAACGTGAGTGTCGCTGCGTCGTCGAACCCGCGCGGGGTTCCGCAAAAACCCCCGTAAACACACTCGAACGTCCCTGCGGATCTCACGACAAGCGAGCGAGCTCCGCGGGCTCACTCGTCTCCGCTTGCACACTCGCACGCTTGCTCGCTCGCCTGCCTTTGGCCCTCGGACGCTCGCTTCTTTCTACGCTTCCTAATCGTTCTCCCTCTCCTCCCCCGCCCCCTCCTCTCTACGGAAACGTTGCGGGGAAACGCGACGCCCGTGCATGAAGACACGCTCAATGACCTCGGATGAACCTCGTTCAACAGGCACGCGTGTCGTCACTCACCCGCGACTCAACGGTCTCCACGCGTTAGCTAATCCTGCTCTAGCGATTCTCTGTCTCTCTCTAGATTATGATCTTATCTACTGTACAAACAAAGGATTCAGGGCTTAGGCGTTAGCGAACGGCGATAGGAAAGATGAATTGAACTTTCGTCGTATTCTATTAAGAGATTGGTGATTCCCTTCCTCGTTATCGAGTTTCGAGCGTCACACGTGGAAAATTGGTTCCGTGTTTAAGCGAGCCAGCTTTATGTGTCACATGCTAACGATATGAGTCACGTAGTAAAAGATTACTTCTCAAATCAGAAGAATTTCCATCACTGGAAATGGTTTTTTAAACGTTGAAGTTTTTATGGGAATGTGTAGCATATACATCGTTAGAACTATGTAACACACTGATACTAAGATCCTACTAATGATCCTATTATGTCTCTAGAATAATTTAAATCTGTGATGCACTATATTATCTTCTTTTAATCACTTCAAAGTTAATCACTTTTTTTCTTTTGAAAGTATAAATTGTTTTTATTAAGATCATTGTTGAGATTATTTTGTTTGTTGTATGTCAAATTTTTTTAGACTTATTACTCGACCATAGTTAATATAAAGTTTGAAATGTTTGCATGACAAATGAAATATCAGCTCAATGATACTATTTCATTTGTCATATAACTAATTCTTTAAGACGTCTTGATTGATTATAGGATAAAATATTCTGAGACTTTGAGAACTTGAATTTTTTGTAGCTATTCAATACGTTTGAAAAATCTGTTGTGTGACGAATGAAATAGAAATCATATCTTGTGCCCTTCAACATTACTTTATTTAAAGCAATAAAATTCTTAATTATTAACATATTTTTTTAATATAAGAATTAAATATAAATAAAAAGTATCATAAAAATTATAAAGGATTCTTTTTGTAATAAAAAAATAGTTTCATAAAAGTACTTTCCAATATACTTTCAAAAAAAAATGAAAATTTCTTTTACGAGATGCTATTTGTAAGATCTGTATCATAGTTTTACGAAAATTAAAAAATATTTCTTATATAGACATAAATTAACAAGTGTATCTGTATGAAAATATAGATATTGAAAGTTGTTCTTTAGCAGAAAGACTTCAATGTTTGAATAAGTTTTATTGAATATATAAATGTTGAATATTATAGTATTAAAATAAAAATAATATAATAAAGATATAAAGTGTGTGACATAGATACAGTAATAGGAATGTCAGTAAGCACTTAGTATTGAAAATAATTTAATATTAATTATTATTTAAATTATTTAGTAATTTAAATGGCATTAATTTTAGGTTGATATTTATGTTTGTTTATTTTACTATCTCCTATGATTCTTGCTGCAAGAAATAATGGCAAGTCATGTTTATACATTATACGTTTGCATAAATATTGGAATATATTTTTGTTTAAGATAGGAAAATGATGTTATTGAAAATATATCTTGTTAAATATGTCCAAAGATGTTTTTCTGCGTTTTGTTATAATCACTGACATAAAAAAAGAACTGGAAGATACTGTAATCTGTTAACTTTGACTTTAAAAAATTCTTTCTTAAGCGTTAATACTCTCATTTTATAGAATAATTGCTTCATACAACACTTTACAAACAATACAAGTGCATGTGAAAATACGTTCCGATTATAACAAATCAAGCATTCCAGGGTACATAAACAGAAATAGAAAAAATGAAAAGTGCAAGTATGTAATGCTATCACTAAATCCATATAGACAAAATCTACAAAGCTGAAATTGATCTTTTATGACATATTTTATATCGTTTAATATCTTTTTGCAGCCCCCCCACCTGGACCCTCAACTAGTGGCGGTTCTGTTGGGACGGCGGGAGTAGCGGCGAGTAGTGTCGCGGCTCCCAGCAATATGGGGCTTGTTCCCGCACAACAGGCACACACTCCTCCTCAACCTGCAGAACTGCCAAGTAAATATATTTATATTATATTATTTAATTTTAATTTAACATTAATCATTTTATGCTATAAGTAAAAAGATTGATGAAAAGTTATTTTTTATTTTGTATAAGCATTTAATATTCTTTTTGCAGTGTTTACGTGCCCTCGAAGACCAAACATAGGACGAGAAGGTAGACCGATTGGTTTGAGAGCTAACCACTTTCAAATTAGTATGCCACGTGGTTACGTACATCATTATGACATCAGCATACAGCCTGATAAATGTCCTCGGAAAGTTAATAGGGAAATTGTAGAAACTATGGTTCATGCATATACTAAAATATTTCAATCTCGTAAGCCTGTGTTTGATGGCAGAAATAACTTGTACACAAGGGACCCTTTGCCTATTGGGCATGATAAAGTAGAATTAGAGGTAAGTTGCTATTTCTCAAGAAATCTAATACTATTGTATGCTTTACAATTACGATTATAATCGTCATTGCAGGTCACACTGCCTGGTGAAGGAAAGGATAGAGTTTTCCGAGTGGTCATAAAGTGGTTGGCACAGGTTTCGCTATTCGCTTTAGAAGAGGCTTTAGAAGGACGAACTAGACAAATTCCATATGACGCTGTTCTTGCTTTAGATGTTGTAATGAGGCATTTACCATCTATGACATACACTCCAGTAGGTAGATCGTTCTTTAGTACGCCAGAAGGGTATTATCATCCATTAGGCGGAGGCAGAGAAGTTTGGTTTGGATTTCATCAATCAGTGAGACCGTCGCAATGGAAAATGATGTTAAATATCGACGGTAAGGGAAAGAAAACAAAATTATAACTTATACTACGTTTATTCATGACATAACTTATCTGTCCTCATATTTTAGTCTCTGCCACTGCCTTCTACAAAGCGCAACCAGTTATAGAATTTATGTGTGAAGTGTTGGATATTCGAGATATCAATGAACAAAGAAAACCGCTTACGGATTCTCAGAGAGTGAAATTTACCAAAGAAATCAAGGGTCTCAAGATTGAAATAACTCACTGTGGAGCTATGAAACGAAAGTATAGAGTGTGCAATGTTACACGTAAACCAGCTCAAATGCAATCGTAAGTGTATATTGAAATTATTACAAGATGCGAAACAGAGAAATATATGTAATTTTTTAATATGTTATTTTCCTTATATTAAATTAAATTACAGATTTCCATTGCAATTGGAAAATGGACAGACGGTTGAGTGTACAGTTGCCAAGTACTTTTTAGATAAGTACAAAATGAAGCTGCGCCACCCACATCTTCCTTGCTTGCAAGTCGGTCAAGAACACAAACACACGTATCTGCCGCTCGAGGTATATACGCAAAATTTTAGGTTTCCGAACTTATAGCATACTTGATTCTATTGAAGAATAAAATAACATAATTATATCTGATGTTAGGTTTGCAATATTGTCGCCGGACAACGCTGCATTAAGAAGTTAACAGACATGCAGACCTCGACTATGATCAAAGCGACAGCGCGTTCTGCACCAGACCGTGAACGGGAAATTAACAATCTGGTTAGAAGAGCTGACTTTAACAATGATTCTTATGTACAAGAATTTGGATTGACTATATCGAATAGTATGATGGAAGTCAGGGGTCGTGTACTACCTCCGCCCAAACTGCAGTATGGAGGGCGCGTAAGTTCCCTCAGTGGACAGGTGAGAAACTTCCAACTAAATCAGTCAGGTCTAACCGAATCACACATTTGCAGAGGCTAATTCTCATTATTTTTAGTAGGCATAAGTTTTTGTAATGCCAAATATTCAACAAATTATTTATCATAGTTCTTAGATTCTCTACGTTTAATTTATAAAGGAAAGCTGCTAGTTATGGAAAATATAAGACATGTTTACGATAGTTATTATTTTTTATTTTGATTTCTTTATTATTTTATGTTACACGTATAGTAGCATTCACGGTATTTGCATTTCATAACTTAATTTATATCGCGATGATAGTGTATTTAACATTAATAAAATGATATTTGATATATATCTCTACACATGTGGCCAAAAGTTGTCAAATGAATGCATGGGTTCTAGACCTGGTTGATTTGATATCTGGGCTGTTAGTGTAACGAATATTCAAATTGTCATCGTGAATAAATTTAAATGATAATGAAATGTTATGAATGCTATTTCTGTTCTACAGTAGTTCTAGTTTACGGTTTACAAATGTAACTGCTGTTACATTTGCAGTCCGATATCACTTGCAAAAGTCTGATGCTATCAGTATTTATTCCATGCAGCATAGCAATTATATTTTTCATATATATATATATATATATATATATATATATATGTAAATTATTCTTGCCACTAGATTTAAAATTATTAGATTTATTTTTATTGCTTAACTTTAAACAAAATATATTGAACAAAATGAGTGAGTTAACTATGTTTGCATATAGAAACTGACGCATCTGCTTCGATATAATTTTGTATTATTTAATTATATTGTTTAAACATTCAATAACGTATCTCTTTCTAAAGACGAAGCAGCAGGCGATGCCTAATCAAGGCGTTTGGGATATGCGAGGCAAGCAGTTCTTCACTGGAGTAGAGATTAGAGTTTGGGCGATTGCTTGTTTTGCGCCGCAGAGAACAGTACGCGAAGATGCGTTACGTTCATTCACAACGCAACTACAAAAAATTAGTAATGACGCTGGAATGCCCATCATTGGACAGCCATGTTTTTGTAAATATGCTACTGGACCAGATCAAGTCGAACCCATGTTTCGATACCTGAAGTCAACTTTCTCACAATTGCAGCTAGTTTGTGTTGTATTACCAGGCAAAACTCCTGTATATGGTAACTATAAATACTGCATAAATTTACATATAGATAAGAATACAAATTACTTTAATAATTTTCACAAATGGAAATAAATAATTTGTTTCTTTCTTTTTTTTAGCTGAAGTGAAAAGAGTAGGAGATACATTATTGGGCATGGCAACCCAGTGTGTACAGGCAAAAAACGTCAATAAAACATCACCGCAGACATTGTCCAATCTTTGTCTTAAAATAAATGTCAAATTAGGAGGCATCAACAGCATTTTAGTACCTAGTATAAGACCAAAAGTGTTTAATGAACCGGTTATATTTCTTGGAGCTGATGTGACCCATCCACCAGCGGGAGATAACAAGAAACCCAGCATAGCTGCTGTAGTAGGCAGCATGGATGCCCATCCATCTCGATACGCAGCAACTGTTAGGGTTCAGCAGCATAGACAGGAGATTATACAAGAACTCAGTTCGATGGTTAGGTGAGTGATTTAAATTAATTTATAGAATTTTACAACAAATGCATTTGATTAATCTTTAAATCACGCTCTAGATCTATAGAATAAGAAAACCAATTATATATTAGAATAAATGTGACATCAATTCTTCTCAATGACATATTTATACGAATTTAATAACTATTACATAAAGTTATTAACATTTTTTAAATAATTATAAAATTATATACGTTAAAAAGGGATTAATTATATTACTAGAAAATATTGTGTTTATTTTAACTTTTTGCAATTTGTTTCGTTTACTTTTGTAGTAAACATTACCTAATGATTGTCTTTTTTTTTTTTAAGGGAATTGCTTATAATGTTTTACAAGAGCACAGGCGGATATAAGCCGCATAGAATAATTCTATACCGCGACGGTGTTTCCGAAGGCCAATTCCTTACAGTTCTGCAACATGAATTAACCGCCATTCGAGAGGCATGTTTAAAACTTGAGATCGATTACAGACCCGGCATAACGTTTATCGTAGTACAGAAGAGGCATCACACGCGTTTGTTCTGCGCGGATAAAAAGGAGCAAAGTGGGAAAAGCGGGAATATTCCAGCAGGTACGACTGTCGATGTATGCATAACTCATCCAACGGAATTCGATTTTTACCTTTGCAGTCACCAGGGTATTCAGGTAATAAATTTAACATAATTCTTTACATAAGTATCCATTTCTATTATATTTGATATTCTAAGTATTTTTATTATTATCTCAGGGTACATCGAGACCATCGCATTATCATGTTCTTTGGGACGATAATCACTTCGAAAGTGACGAGCTACAATGTCTCACGTATCAATTATGTCACACTTATGTGAGATGCACGAGATCTGTCAGTATACCAGCGCCAGCGTATTATGCTCATCTCGTAGCATTCCGGGCTAGATATCACCTAGTCGAGAAAGAGCATGATAGGTAAGTCGAATTATTAAATCGAATATCATCTTTGTCTTTGTCGTGTCGTCACGATAAAGCGATCGCGTTATATATAATTATAATTATATATATATATAATTATAATTATATATATATATATAATTATATATACAAGTTTTTACCGTTTTTAACTTTACAGCGGAGAAGGATCTCATCAATCGGGTTGCAGTGAAGACAGAACGCCGGGTGCGATGGCGCGGGCAATTACAGTTCATGCCGACACAAAACGAGTTATGTATTTCGCATAATACCATTGTCGTCTCGAGTTAAGCCATCGTATGAACATCGCTGTTATCTCCATGAAGAAACGACTGTATATAATTGCGTCTCCGTGACACAGATGTGAGAAACTTCATCAGGCAGCCGGGATCGGTGGCAGCTACGTGCAATCGCGGCACGTCGCGCCATACATTCTTGGACTATTTAACAGTTAGGACAATTTAACTGAGAGGTCAATTCTCTTACGTACCTTTCCGTTGTCCCTTTTTTCCTATTCTCTCTCTTTCTTATTTTACATCTGTACGACAGCTTTTTTTGTACGCGTGGCACTGTATGTTATATTTACATTTGTATAGGAAAAACGAACTTTTGATTGATTTTATGAACTTATAAAATAAGTTTTTACAAGAGGTGCTTTTTAGTTGTTGGCCGTTTATAGATCAGATTAAGAATGTTTTTACACAGAAAAGTCTATTTGCGGTCGAAGTAGTTGGAAACCTAGCTAAATAAGCAAATTTCTTTATAAAAATTATGTTTGATAAAATCATGGAAGAAATTGTGATTTTTTTTAAAAACCGATTAATCGAAACGTGAATTTCTGTTGTATTACGGAGAACAACAGCACTTTTTGACTTCTCGAATCACTCAATGAATTGTGTGGCATATTACGCTTATTTTGTAGAAATGAATTTTCTATAGCATTCATGTGAAAAAGAAAAAAGGGGGCAAACAAACCAAATGACTTGAAAATTAAAACAAGCAAAAATAATGAAAAATATGAATTATATATAAATCGCTATTTGCGAGACTGTTATCTTGTTGCATGTATGTATAGCTTTCATTTTGCGAGGAGTAAAACTCCATTCTGTAAATTCTGTAAATTTTAGACTTTTGATCATGGTAGAATGATTGGCAAAAGCGAGTATTGGTTAATAACGACTGTAATATCTTTAGGATTACGAATCATGCCGCGTCATATCCGTTGAATCACAACGCCTAAAAATAATGTGCCGAATAGTAAAAAAGAACGCTATCTTTTATACATTCTTAATCAGCTAAAAATTTCACGAAATTATTTTAAAGTAATCCTGAGAAGTATTCTTGAGAACCGATAGAACAACACCAATTCGTGTGTACACTTCGGGTAACAAGTATAGTAAATAAGATCGAATAATCTTCATACATAAAGACAACTATGCATGTAATAGCCGAAAAGTGTTACGTAAAGCATGTACATTACATGGTTTCCAATATGTTTTAATAATGGCTAGTGTCTATTTGAGAGAACTAAGAATCACTGCTAAACTAAGAATCACTGTCAATAATTATATATTTCGATTAATTAGTATAACTACGATGTATTACAGAAAAATATCAGTACTTTCTTATCATATTCTTATTCTTTTCAATTCTCCGTGTTACTCCCATATAGACACTAAGCTTTAGGCTGCAAATTTAGCATAGATAATTAAATTAATTATTGTTTAGCATAGGCAATTAAATTAATTATCGTTATTTTACTGTTGCTACTCGTTAGAGTGTATATTTTATTCGTCTCACTTTAATTTCTCATTAGATTATTGTCTGTACGTTGCACAGCTCATAATCTATACGTCAACTATTAATAGTATCACTGAACTAGGATATAACTAAGATACAACCTTGCCCAAGCAACTTTATCTGTGTTAAAAACAACCCTGTATTATGACCCTGGTGGTCGGAAGTCTATTAAGCAAGAAAAAAAGATCCAAATGCACATGTCATACTAGATTGCCGGGGATAAAAATAAACGGATATCCGTGTCTACTATCCGAAATAAACCGTGATGTTAGCTATTCAGATCAAAGATGGCTATGAATAAGTCAAATTTGCATGTTATACATATGAGCTAACATACGAAGACATAGCCGCATTAAAGCGTACAAAGAACTATCAAATAAAAGTAAATCGGATGTCACGTCGGATTTAATGTTAAATTATCCAAACATCAAGCTTGATCAACTCTATAACTTAGTGATTATACTTAAGAGCGAAATAAGATGTAAGATTAGTTGTAAGAGTATTATAAGAGTAAGATTTTTTATAGTTTAAAAAAAAAGAATTGTTTTGCTTGATAATGCCAAAACTCTAGAAGTTTTGTATTTTTATTCTAATGATCGCGATCTTATGCAAATCTATGTCATTTATTGGCACAACAATACGGAGTAATAATATAAGTGAAGTAATACACAGACGTAAAAAGCAACACATATTAATATAGGATCGTATATTAATAGTATTCTTGATCTATTAATATATGAATAGAAATTATATTATAAGTACGCTAATATAAAAACACAATTGTGCATCGATTGTCGCGCGTGCGTGCATGCGTGCGTTAAATTATTATGTATTATTGTTAGAATCATTAACATATCGAAATCTCTTTTTTTTTCTTTTACAATTATATGAGCGCTTGCGTAAGAATCGAATTTCCATTGCAATCAGTTGTGATCTTTTAACCACTTAGTAAATACAGTATTAATAATAACAATGCTTACTTAAGAAGAAAGAATAATTAAAAAAAAAAAAAAATTAATTTCTTCAATGGGACAAAGGAGTGGAAGTGCTATTTTTAATTGTATTAATGATTCTAATATTAGATTTACAAGGGGAACACAATGTTAACATTATATTGGAAAGTATGGAAAGAGACGACCCCTTAATCTATTAGTAATATTTATTCTAGTTGTTAAAGTAAAGAATGAAACAATTAAAACTGTCCTCTCTTTCACCGCTAAAACACACGACACATCTGTGCTGATATCTGTATGGGAATTCTATAATAGTCTTTTATTGTCTACCTGTTTGGAAAAACAATCGTAGGCATAGTTGGGAAAGCAGTAGTCAGGACAACTATAATTATATTAGCCGAGTGATATGAGCAACGTATATCCGATGTATAAAAATAAGGAGAGAAAAGTAAAAGAGAAAAAAAACGAAAGATTATTATTCACGTTGTTGAAGATGCATCTTATAGGAATGAACGTCACAATGTATATTATGGTTCGTCATCTTGTGTGCTATAACAGAGTGATATGAAGGAGTTTGCAGGTTATAAGATCATTATCAATTTGATTAGATTTTAAGGCAATTTATGGATAAATAAGTTAGCCGCGGAAATATTAACGATAATATTCCAGTGAATACCAAAACGAGACTATGGCAAGATTTAATTGATGCGACGTTTTACTCGAATGCAGTAATAGTGTAAATTAGCGTAAGATGAGTTTGCATTAGCGTTTTAAGAAAGTATTTATATCCGTTTAAATAATGGGTGTACATTACTTCGTATCCGCGAAGAATGAAAAAAGAATAATTTATCGCGAAGTGAATATTGGGCATATTGATGAATGGATGCTATTGATGAATTCGTTTCTCTTATAAAATTCTTCATGTATGTATTTCTATGTCTTTATCTTCTTGCGTTCTTATTTCTTACGCGATCAAGAATTTCCGCTCGATATTTTTCTGCGCCTGAATAAAAAATAGGACTAGAAGAGCTAGTCCATCTCATTTGTAAATATATTTCGGTAATTTATTCTGTAGATGATCTCTTTTTTTTCGCGCGTTAATGTAAATGACACAACATTTTATGATAAGAGATTAATAAGGAGAGAATAATAAGGACGCATTATTGTGCAAGGTGTTTCACATTTTGTCTTACAATTAATCGCAGATTGCTCGATTATAAAGTCGATCTTTATTAATGGGTGTTGGATTAGGAGGCCATTAAGTAACAACTTTATAATTCGATTTTGATTATTGCGACCTATTAAGCATAAGAAAGATATTTTTATTATTTATTTACGCATTTGCAGTTTGATTTGCTACAGATTTTTAGTTTTCGATGTTGAGAAAACTCTCTAAGCCTTAGGGAAAGCCTTTAATCGAGGAAAACTCAATTTCAGATTTGCTAGAGAATTTGCAATCTGTGACAATTGATAATTCAAACTCTTTGACTATGTAAAAAAAAAAAAAAACCGAAAATAGAACTGAGACACTGTAAAACGAAAATTATTAACTTCTAGAAGAGAAGCATTATGCGAAAATAAAGCGCGGTTACGAGATGTGGAAAGTTTAGTGTAAGATAAATGAGATACTCGTCATTGGATCGATCTTCTACAGATACATGGCCCGCCTTGCTGTACGAACATAACTGTGTCACAATTTATATTTGTATATCTATATATACATATATATATATATACACATACATAGACACATAGCTATAAATGGATCAATCCGATTATAGTACCTACATGTAAAAATCTACATGTCTTCTTATTGCACATTAGAATAGTAAGCTATGTTGTCTTGAAAAGTCGGGTATGTCTACTTTCGAGATCGCCAGCCGCAATCTCATGAACTCGTACAAAATGCAGCAGATAATCGCCCGAATGCCCATAAATGTAAGATAAATTTACATATTGTACGATATTAATATGTAAGTTAAAAATAAATTCTTAAAACATTTTGTTACCACGGAAATGTAAATTCGTAAAGTTATAATTCGCGTATACACATGCATTTTTCAGATTTCGAAGAAATCGATGCGACATATTGAGGATGAATGGAGTGAATCTTTTAAAAAGGTGTTCTATTTCAAAGATTCTCATTCTCTCGGGAGATGTAGCGCAATCGAGGGTAAAAGATACCGGATTTTTCAAGCCTTCCCATTGAATTTAAGCTCTTCGAAGAATGTCGAAGAAGGAAGTCTTTAGCTTATTAAGGACGCATTGTCATGTAGTGAATTCGGTAACTACTTAAGGCATGCGAAAAAAATGCAGGTTTCAAAGTGTCAGCTTTAAAAGTGCCAGCGTATCCAGCGGATCAATAATGGCGTTTCACGATAGCGAACGTGACGACAGCGCGAGCGATACTAGCGTTAGATATATGTATAGCCCTTAGAAGTTCTAATTTTGTCTTCTAATTTGTAAGCGTGAGTATATGCTGTTACTAGAGTAGTATGCATACTGCACGAGTATGGACGGGTATTTGAGAGAATAAACCTCATCCTTGAGACGAGTTTTGCAAGGGAGGGCATAGCGAGCAGAATATTAGGAATGATGATGAGCTATCTACTTTAGCATTGTAAAAGTAACGCTTTATAGACCATAGTCGACGATGAGGAATGATTTTGGTCGAACTTCGAGCGTCTTAATCCGGCGGCTTTTCCTGTATCTCATTTCTTCTATAACGCTTAATTGATGTTAGGAAATGATAAAAGAAAACTGTTCACTCTCGACATTTATATTTGA